CCCGGCGACCGCGCGCCCTCTAGTGGCCGCCTGTGGAATCGCACCCGTACCAGGATCCTGCCGCGCATCGTTGATCTGGCTTCTCCACCCTGCGCCCGAGGTGTAGGCGCCTGGACCGAAAGCACCAGTCCAATGGCCCTCTGTCTGTGCGTCTTCCTCCTCGCCGTCGTCTCTGCCGAGCCCAAGCGCACATGTGGATGTGCACGTGGAGGGTGTCGGTGTAATAAGAGCGACGTGACTACAGGTGACACAAGTGAGGCGTCCCACAGAGTAAGGGAAGGATCAGGTTTGGAACTCGGGCGCCCCGCAGCGGGTGGACTGACGACCTGGACGCCTGTGAACTCCGGCCTGCCGCTCTCTCTGAGCCTCAGTTTCCTTTCTGTGAAAAGGGGACCACGGCTTTCACAGCGGGATACAGTAGGTGCTCAGTAAGTGGCAGCTGCTGCCGTGATCATCAGCTGGCGTGAAGACTCCTTGGAGTTAATGACGGGCCGGCGGTCACTCTGGTGTCCACTGATTGAGCACCTACTGTGTGCCAGGCTCTGCGGGCCTCGAAGGACACAGCGCCACTTCCTGGTTTGCACTGGGGTCAGATCAGGTGCAAAGGGCGCAAGACCACCTGGGTGGTGACGCTAGGAGACTCCCTCCCCAATACTAAGGATTGAACCCGGGGCCTTCACACAGAGCTACAGCCTCAGCCCTTTTTAAACTTTTTGTCTTTGAGATACGATCTCGCTAAATTGTCCAGCTTGAAATTGCCATTCTCCTGTTTGAGCCTCCCAGAGTTCTGGGACCACCAAGCCCGGCCCATTTAGTAACAACGCTGGGTGGGCATTGAGTTCCGCGAGGGCGGTGCCAGGTGGCGTCCCGGGATAAGCGCGGACGGAGACAGGCAGCGGTAGGAGTCACTTGGGGCGACTCGGCGACCGCGAGGGCCAGCCAGCCGCGGGGCTGGAGCTTCCCGGCCTGGGGTGGGGTGCAGAGGCTGGAGCTGGCCTAGGTGTAGGGCGGAGCTCCGGGAGCTGAGAGCACGGCGTCCAATCAGTCAGGGTGGGACGGACGCTCTGGCCAATCAGCGGCTGGCCCAAGTTCGGCGGTCTGGCGTGGGCGGAGCCTGAAGATCGTCTGGCGGTTTCCGCAAGCCTCCAGGCTGCCCCTCTCTCCCTTCCCTGTGGGATGAGCACACAGCAGGCGCCAAATAAATGCTCCCAAACAGCGTGGTGGGGGTGCCCGTGCTCCCGGCGGCCAGATCTGCACACTGAAGACAATGACATTAGAGGGTCCTTACTGAGCACCTGCTGGGGACTGGGCGATAATATCTCCCCTACCCGGGAATTGAACTCAGGACCTTGAGCTTGCCAGGGAGGCGCTGTGTCACTGAGCTATCTCCCCGGCGCCCACTCTTTTGAGACAGTGCTTTGCTGTGTAGCTCAGATTGGCCTCGAACGCAGCGATTCGTCTGCATCAGACCGCCAAATGCTGGAATTACAGAGCGTGCCACCGCACCCCGCTGTTTTGTATTGAGTCAGAATTTCGCTGTGTAGTCCCTGCTATGGTCGACTTTGCAGGACTCCTCCTGTCTCAGCCTCCCAGGTGCTCGGATTACACGGGTGCACACGCCCAGCCCCGTTTTCCTGGCTCGCTGTCCTTGACCTGTGTGGGCGCTATGCACCCCGACTCCTCGCCCTGGGGCCGGGTGGAAGCGGCTGCCCGGCGGTGGTACCGCGGGCCCCTGTCCCTGGTCGGGTCCGATGGCCGCAGGCCCCCTGCTCCCAGGCCAGCTTCCGCCCGAACCGAGGCGGGGAGGGAGGGAGGCTGTCACCATATATCCCCGTCAGATTAAAAAACTAATTTGAAAAGATTAATGTATTCCATTCTTGTTACGCTGGCTCTGCTACCTCTGGGCCTGCGGCCGCGCTGCCTCCTGATTATTGAATTTTTATGGCCCGGTAATTAATTGCAGATTCCCTGTTTTGTTCTATTTCTTTTTCTCTGACATTTTAATTTCAACAAAAAGCAGTGGTCTCGAGCAGGTTCTCTCCGGAGATCCTAATGGTCTATAAAACAGCATGACTTATGCGCGCGGCACCCACTCCGGCGGCGGCCGCGGCGGGGCCTTGCTGAGCGCGCAGAATTCGCCTCCGCCCGCGCTGCTC